AGAGGAGTCTCCAAAGAAGCGAACAAACTGAGGTCGTTTGCAAGCGGTGACCATCTCCTCTTCCATCTCCTCTGCTGACAAAGTCGAGCACCTCTCTACACCTGACCATCTTATCCATGTACAACGCAAGCGGAACAGTGGACAGAACGCAGCTTTGTCGGGGGAGGGGGGAGGGGAACTATGTCCAATGCTCAATGGTCTCAATTTAACGACATTTCCTGTAACGCTGCACTTTTACACGTAATGACTGGATGGTTCGCAGCAGCCGGCCACCGATTCCATAGGTTTGATGGCAATCCATGCGTAAACTGAAAATTTCGTTAATTACGTTAAATTTCTTTCGATGCATCATCTCACCTGAAGCCACACTGCTCTCATTGTGACTGAGAGTTAAATGTTCAGCGGTGCATCCTTCCTAACACCTCTGTGTTGTTTTTTACCAGTAGACCTGATAAGATAACTTCCCAATGACATGAGCACTCCATATGGTCTTCCATCTTGAACAGCTGCTAGAACCTTCGTTTGCCTGTCCTCTGGTGTCTTTCCCGTAGCCATTGCAGCTTGACAGATATATGTGAACAACGACTTGCTTTGTTTGCCTGAAGCGGTAAGCACAAGAAAGCGGATTTCAGCGATTCGGGCAACCTTGCCACTTTGTAAGATTTTTTGCAACTTGTGTAACTTTTTCTGCAGAAACACTAATAATCATCGCGTGCTGATCTTCAGGCAGGTTAAAAAGTAAGGTTAAATAAATTTTTAAAAATGCCGCGCCGGATGAGTGGGACTGTAAAGAAGATTCTCTCATAAAGAAGCTGCTCCTTTACGATTATAATGATCGCAGCCAGAAGTCACGATCACTCAGAATTACTTCGCTCTCACCGTCAGAACTAGTCTTTGTTGCTGCGAAAACCCAAATATGTGCCATTTTTTTGCATAGGCTTCTCGTGGGTTTCTTAAAGTCGCAAAGTAATATAAAACATTGTTTTCCCCATGTTAACCTGATCATTATCTACGATAACCTAGTAATTTGTGCCTTCAAGAATTTCACTGTCTTGTTGTATCGCTGTATTAAGCGAATTATCCAAGTCATTGTATGGAATGGAAGCGACCCAAAAACCGCAAGGCATGATTAATCGCATGCTGATAGAAGATGCTACGTAAACACCCTCGAAGAACTTACCCCCGTGCTCGTTAATCTAATTATTTATGGACCATACCTTGTGCTGAGATTTATTCTGC